ACGCCAATTGTCACAGATCTGCTCAAACCGCGTAAGCTGGCCAGTGAACACACCTGCAGGCTGATGAGATGGAATGTTCGACGTTGCACTAAGATCGTATAACAGAAATCCCATGCAACGGTCTTATCAAACACAAATCTGAGAGATCCGTCTGCTCGTGTCTGCAGTTTCGCACCTAAGAAGGTGCACGAGCCATCTGCCGCAGTGGTCTCCTTCCATTCAAAACCACAATGGGCTGATGATGGTGGCAGACAATCAAAGGTAAGAACATCATCAATGAACCGATATGTAAAAGCATATCGGCGAGCAGCAGAGGGATCCACACGCTGCAGGTTGTATATGTAATTTGCCCTTTTACGACTTTTTATCTATAATACCCAAACGTTGTTTCATTCCTCATCACCACACAATTATACGGTCCGCTTGTAAGCGGCGGCATAGAGAGAGTTGAGCGTCGCCGCACGGGACACGAAACGAAGAAAAACGAAACGAGTGCATCTTCCTGCAGGAAATGGCCAGGTTCATCGGATTGCTATAAACAGTAGCCAGTGTATCTTGCCCCCCTTCGTGGGCAGATGCACTCGTTTTTCGTTTTCATTTCGTGTGCCGTGCGGCGAGACCCTTGGAATCAAGAGCTACAAACCATCGGGCCTCGTTACGTTACCACGTGAACAAAAGACAAAAAACACGGCCGCGAATCTGTCCGTTTTGTAGAGGAAGATTCATTCTGATTTTTTGCACATTTCATTAGTGGAGCGAGGTCAATACTCCACAACACAGTCGCTGTCAGTTAAAACCTCAATGTCATTCCTCCAACAAGAGAAAAATAGAACAGAATTATTATTATTATTAATTTTTTTAATCTGGGAAAAGAACGGATCATTTTAATATCCACTCCCTAAATGGATTGAAGAAACGAAAAAAAAAAGCAAAACGAAAGTAGAATGGAAAAGACACGACCCTCGGGCATATCCACCACGGGTCGCTCTCAGCATTACACGTGTCAGCACGACTCAGATCGATCATTGAAGTCCTTCGCGCTCGACCATCCACGCAATAGACGTCTGTGGACCACCACACAGGGTCCAACACATTACCGGTACTGCTGCTCCCTTCGAATTCATCGCGGAGAAACAAATGAGAGAAAGGGGAAAATAAAACACTCTCCGGAGTCTCCCCTCTCCGCCGCCCCCCAAACAAAAAACACACTTCTCCGCGCTTTCCAACACGTCGTGACACGACTCCCAACTTGAAACGTTCCAGTGTGAGCATCTCTGCCTGCCCCACCACAGCGAACGAAGAAAAAGTCAAAAACTTAATTATCACAAGCCCCGCCCCACCGCTGCAACCTCAACGCCCCGTGAACGGGCTTCATGAACAGTTAATTTGGCTTCTCTATTTTAGTCGAAGAGCGCCCCGTCAAGGGGCTTCCACTTTTTTTTTTATTCTTTTTTTTTTATGGGGCTTCCATTTTCGACAAAGGTGAACAGAAAAAAGCACAACCACCAATTATAGACTCAAACACCAACTCCCAACGTCTTATACACGAAATCGTGGCCGCCTTGCACAAGGGGCTGCATGAACAGAGGGCTCATTCGGCTCCTCTATTCTTGTCAAAGAACAACTGAGTATCCCTTCCACTTACCGACGAACGCAGAGAGAAGAGACATAAAGCACACACACCAACCAATCAGCCACCTCTTAACCTCTTATAGTATAAACGAAATTTTGTGTCCGCAATCATACTCTTCAACCATCTCATTGTTCAGAACTGCAACCTTCTGCGAAACGATCGCGACTGTAGCTTCACCATCTCCTTGCTATTCCCATTTTCAGCGACCGTCATCTCTCTTGACGTCAACAAATAAACGAGAGAGCGACTGTAGCTTCACGATCTCCTTGCTATTCCCATTTTCAGTGACCGTCATCTCTCTTGACGTCAACAAATAAACGAGAGAGCGACTGTAGCTTCACCATCTCCTTGCTATTCCCATTTTCAGTGACCGTCGTCTCTCTTGACGTCAACAAATAAACGAGAGAGCGGACATCCGCCGAGAAGACGGCAACCAATTTCTACTTCAACTCAGAAAAGCACGACGCTCCTGATAGTGCCAATACCTAACAGCGTGTCGTGTTATGGAGGTCTCTCTCCCGTCCTTGAGAGAGGCGCTTTCTTTGCGCGGAACACCAAATCCTCCGCCCGGTCTGCGGACGCGCCGCTGCTCAGCATCGAGATCTGGTTTTGGCGCGGGACACCAAATCCTCCGCCCGGTCTGCGGACGCGCCGCTGCTCAGCGTCGAGATCCCGTCTCCTGACCACCTGCTCCGCTTCCGACCGTCTCCCCCTTCAACGTCTCTACAGCCGCACTTGCTCTCTCCATAAGACTATCAATTGCGCTTGGGGAGCTCTGTTTCGACTCTTCCATCGCTTCGGCTGCTCGCTGTCGCTCTTCATCCATAGCCTCCTTCGCCTGTTGCGTTTTCAGGGCGGCGACCTCCTTCGCTTCATCGTACCTCTCTTGGGCGGCGTCCTTCGCTTCCTCCGACTTCGCAGAGGTAACCTCCCTCGCGCTCTCAAGCTTCTCCTGCGCGCTTCTTTGTGCTTCCTCCAGTTTCTCTGCAGCCGTCTCCTGACCACCTCCGCCTTTCATTCCCACTTTCTCCTTCAACGTCTCCATAGCCGCACTCGCCCTCTCCTTTATATTTTCCACTACGCCTGCGGTCCTCTGTTTCGACTCTTCCATGGCTTCGGCTGCTTGGCGTCGCTGTTCCTCCATAGCCTCCTTACCCCGCTGCCCCTTCTCAGCGGCAGTCTCCTTCGCTGCGTCGTATTTCTCCTTGGCTGCCTCCTTGGCCTCCTGCGACTTCTGAGACGCCACCTCCTTCCCTCTCTCGTACCTCTCCTGAGCGCTCCTTTTCGCTTCGTCCGCTTTCTCTGCAGCCCTCTGCTTCGACTCCTGAGCTGCCTCCTTGGCTTCCTGCCACTTCTCGGAGCCAACCTCCTTCGCTCTCTCGTACTTCTCCTGCGCTGCCTCCTTGGCTTCCTGCGTCTTCTCAGAGCCAACCTCCTTCGCTCTCTCGTACTTCTCCTGCGCTGCCTCCTTGGCTTCCTGCGTCTTCTCAGAGCCAGCCTCCTTCGCTCTCTCGAGCTTTTCCTGCGCTGCCTCCTTGGCTTCCTGCGCCTTCTCAGAACCAACCTCCTTCGCTCTCTCGTATTTCTCCTGGGCGCTCCGTTTCGCTTCCTCCAGTTTCTCTCCAGCCGCCTGCTTTGTCTCCTCGTACTTCTCCATTCCAGCCTCCTTCAGCAGGTCCGACCCCGCGCGTGCCTTCTCCTGAGCCATCTAGCCCTATTTGTCCCCAGAAGGGCCGGAAGTGAAACTCCCCCACGTACCACTTTTTCCACACGTGGCAACTCCCCCACGTACCACTTGACACTTGGCACCTCCCGTTGTCTCGATCCCCCCTTTGTCAACGGACGCAGGAGTTCCCGCCAACACGCCCGCTTTGTCAACGGATGCACGAGTTACCACCAACTCGAATACCGACGAGTTCCCGCCAACAAGCCCGCTTTGTCAACGGATGCACGAGTTCCCGCCAACAAGCCCGCTTTGTCAACGGATGTACGAGTTCCCGCCAAGTCGGGCACCGACGACGACCAACAGTACCACGGAGAAGATGGAGATCTTTTATTTTTTATTTATTTATTTTTTTGGCCCGATGGACCACGGATCAGATAGTATACTGATCACAACAGACGACGTTAGCCAAAAGGCAGAGAAAGTATGGATGAGATAAATGAAAGAAGAATATAGCTTACTTTTCAGTCAAAAAAAAAGAAAGGTATGGGAAAGGTATGGATGAGATAGATGAGAGAAGAATATAGATTACTTTTCTGTAAAAAGAAGAAAAAAAAGGAATAGATGGAGAATTTTCAGAATGACACTACAGTAGAGAAAGACACCAGGTCAAGAATTGAATCTTCGTCAGCTCCTTCGCTCCCTCTGCTTGTCTCCTCTTTCTTCCCCAAACTGACTCCACCCTCCCCACTCCTGCTCTCTCCCTCCCCTCTCCTCCTCAGCTCATAATATAGATTACTTTTCTGTAACAAGAAAAAAAAAAAGGAACAGATGGAGAAATTTCAGAATGACACTACAGTAGAGAAAGACACCGGGTCAAGAATTGAATCTTCGTCAGCTTCTTCGCTCCCTCTGCTTGTCTCCTCTTTCTTCCCCAAACTGACTCCACCCTCCCCACTCCTGCTCTCTCCCTCCCCTCTCCTCCTCAGCTCATAGACTTAGCGACGGAGAGAATGATCGCAAGTGGCGCCCTTACCGCCGACTATGCCAACCAGAATCTCCAAACCGCTACGCGCATAAACGGGAGCAGAATCCAGACCAGTTTCCACGTCCACTGGAACAGAATCCTGACCAGATTGCACGTACACAGGCACAGAACACGCGGTGGGACTAATGACGGAATGGCCTTCAATGTCGATACGCGTCGTCCTCCACCCAACACACCACACACAAACAGAAACAATACTTCGTTAACCCACGAGACGAGTGTCCGCTCTTCCCCTCCTCTTCTATACACACAGTTTGTCCGCTCTTCCACTCTCTTCTCTACACATGTTGCAACTGATCACGCAGATATGCCTTACCGACGCCACTCCGACTGCATTTATGAAATGCAAACTCCGGCGAGAGGCCCCGCTCGTTTCTGGATGGAGCTCGTAGTCTCAGGGCGAGATCCCACTGGCGAAAACGATTGGAATAAGTGTCTGAACCTGGACCTGTTGCTCGAGAGGTGCAACAAACTGTAATTTATCTGTTTTTTTTCCTGCATCTCTGTGTGGGACACGTCCAGATTCAGATACTTGTTCCAATCGTCTTTGGCAGTGGGATCTGGCCCTCATTCTGCGCTTTAACAGGTAATTGAATTGGTTAGCCTTTTTCTTAAATAAAAATAAAAAAATAAAAGATATCATGGCTGACCTCACAGGCCCCAGTAATTCCATCCAGAATTATCTTCATGCGGTTGACCCTGGGTTCCATCTCAGGTGGACATGCCAACAGCTCCTGTATCTGTCACCTGATACGCACACGAGTTTAGGGTATGACCCACAGCGCAGTACTGAGACGGCACAAAAATGGAAAATGGATGGCCCACGGAACAGCGCTGGGACGCACAGAGCAGCAGCGGGAAGTGGCCCTGGAGATTGCGGCGGTCAGCAGCGAAAGCAGACATTGATGCAAGGCGCACCGGCCGAACGTGGACAGTGAGGGGCGGGGAAATTGCGGCACTGCGAGTGAGGGCGAATTCGCGGGGCAGGGGCCGTATTTGTGACCAGGGTGGTTGCAGCGAGAGGGACGACACCGAGAACCAAACCATGCAGACTGCTGGCGGGCGAGGGCGCAGCCTGCGGGAAAAGGAAGGGCGAACCGGGTGGCAGAGGGCGGAGGGCCACCACAGAGAGAGAGAGAGAGAGAGAGAGAGAGAGAGAGAGAGAGAGAGAGAGAGAGAGAGAGAGAGAGAGAGAGATTCCATCGATAGGATGAGCAACGCACCGCCCAAAAGGTAAGTCTCTTCCGCTAGAACGTAGAAATATGGACTACTACATGTGTGCTTGCGTGTGTGTGTGTTGTATGGATAAAAAAAGACGACTATCCCCATATTGGCCAGGTAAACTACTCGAAAGCATTTAGGCACGAGATGATGATGAAGACAAATCAGACAGGTGTCGTTGCATACCGTGCAAACCCTACTATTTATGTCTACACATGGTTTCCGTATTTCAAACACGATTCGAACGCAATTGCTACTTGTCTTATGAGAACCCTTGTCGAATTTCAAGAAAGTGGGAAGCCACTAGCGCCTTTTTGCGCATTCAAGCAGATAATTATTGGCGGGAAAACAAGAATAAGTACATATGCTCTTTAGTTGCACTCTTGGTTAAGTTCAAGTTTTCCGAGAGGTGGAAATTGGTTTCATGCTAGGGGCACATACCCACACAGGCGTTGACGCTACTTCCAGCGTCTTCTCGAAGAAATTGAGAGATATAGACGATTATACTATGGACGAGTTCCACAAGCTCATAGAGCAATCCCACAAAAGTCTCCCAAATGTGTTTTTCTCGATACACTGGCAGATTGCATAAGTATTGTAAACCCATGCATTGCGTCGGACATTACAAGTATTTCGAAACCACACTTGCATAAATTTTTTATAGTTGTGGATAATATGGGCATGTTGTACAAGGAGTTCTGCGATGGCGACAACTGGTTGTGAGAGGATGATCTGATTCATTGGTTCAAGCACACCCTGATGAAAGGTTCGGAGGTCCTCCGGGGCCATTTGACCCGCCTCCTATTGAGCCCGTTCCTCGTAACAACTATTATAATGACAAAAATGGTGTAACCCGATTCTGCGAGTTGGTGGAGAGCGGACGGTGAATGTGGTGGACTTACATCGAACATGAGGTGAGCAAGAAAAAATAAAACTTTGTGTTACTAGAAGGAGGTTATCAAACAAGGCGACGAGATAATTGCAAATGGGTTGTCTAGACAACCTCTTGAATTTTTTTGCCAAAACCACGGTTGATGGAAAGTGATCAATAACCTTCTCCTACCAGTGCCAACATCGACAATTGGGAACCCTTGTTTGTTGGAAGCAGGAAAGATGGCGAGAAGATCAGTTTCGACCCCCTCATGCACGTTGACGTCGACACTTTTCTTATTGTTCGCCCCTCCAAAGACGATCTTTCCAAAGGCGTGTCTATCTAGGTGGGCAGAGCACAATCTCAAGTGGTTCGTTAAAGAATTTACCAAAATATAATGAAGTGATAGTGGAATACTGGTGCCGACTGGGAGAGCAAAGTCGCTTGAAGAACTGTATGACAATGCATGAGATAAAAGATGGAAGATGATTTTCCATACACAATGGCAGCATGGTGACTTAATCGCTTTTGGTTGGGAGAGACCGGCTAGAGATACAAAGCCGTTCATGACTGGACTTGTCATTCCTTTCAATGTTTGACTGAATGTTGGAGTTGCACTGCAAGATTAGAGTCCATATGTTGAATGACGAGTGCACGTCCTAGGTCTTGTTTGTCCAGCCAATAGGTGAGCGAATACGATTTGAGAAAATGATTATTCGGACGGTGTTAATTGTGGTATAACATCATTGTCGAATTTATGCATTACAGAAAGACCTTGTATGGAAGGGAGCATATATTTTCTACACTTAGTGAATTGCGACAATTTCTACAATACAAAAACGTGGTAGAATTTGTTCATTGGTTAAACAATTTTGAAAGTTTAGCTCATCGTAGAGACGATTATTTTACTTTTTAAACAATTCATTTTTGTTTCTGTTTTCCATGTCATGTTTTGCGTAGGGATTGTGGCAGGAATAATTGTCAATCGACATGATTATTGGTAACTTATTCGCCCTTGTGTATGCGACTTACGTGGTGCGAGTGACAAAACAGAAATTTTAGGGCCGATAACAACAGAGTTCGAAAACGACCTGTGAACGAGTGTCGTCCCTTTCTTGGACAAGCCTCTCGATGCATGGTCCGAGGCAGAAGAGGATAAAACGATCCCGATAAGGAAATGTCAATTGCATAAGGAGTACAAGTTTACTTTCGCGATGAAGTGGAAGAGTTAAATCAGAGTACCTCATTATGTCGTCGGTGTCAGGCAACTTCATTCCCTGCGCGTCACACTAAGACAAAAAGTGAATTAGCGGTTTTACCCTCGACTTGAGAATGTTACGAGATCGCCTCAGATGTAGTTCGTGAACTTGATACAAAATTTGTTAGTTTGTGGGTTCTACAATTCGTTTTTGGAAATATATCCGTTGCGTGGTGCCGGAACGAGGCCGCAGGATGTATCGTGTTGTTGTGTACGGTTGCCTTTGGTCGGTTCTGACATCCGCAAAGGGTTGTGTGTGGCATATTCAAACCAAAACTGAACTTTGGTAGACGATGTAGTGCTCATTTCTTGCAATGAGCTTATAATCCATGGTTGCAATATAGGCACTCCGTGGACAGTCACACTTGTTGGTTGCAGGTCAAATTGATGCGGTTAACAAGGTGGCACGTGGTAGAGCAAGTGTCGTGTTTTGTGCGTTACGTCATCCAATAAAATACATTTTCATTTACTCGAACGTAGCGACGAAGGGAGAGACACTAACTCTTGTTTCTGGATCGTCAATAAATGTGTGATACGGGTTTGGTTTTCATGGGACTCGGGGACGTTGCATTAATTTAGACGTAGTTCAATCTTATATTTACGATTTCTCGCACGTATGTATACGATTTTAAACTTCCAAATGAAGTTTGATTTCTAACACGTATGATTTTTACAATCTGAATATCGTTGTATGATTCCCTCAATTTTCATGAGTACGATATTTTTTGAAGTGCGACGAAATTCATACTCACTTGACTTTCAATTAATGATCATCGCATGTCCGTTACGTAATATGTTAAGTTAC